AAAAAAAATGTGCAAAATGATGTAAAAATAAACTTTGTAATAAAAAAATAAGTAAAATTAAAAAAAAAGTGAGACAAAGTAAGAAATGGAGGCATAAAACAGAATCGGTAGTACATACAAAAACATCAAGTACACATCACATGCCCTATGCCTTAATATTGTGAGAAACTGAACGCAAAGAGTGTAATATCTTTGGAGAAAATGATAAAAAAAAGATTAACCCAAGTGGAGAGTTTATTCACAGGTGCTAGTAACAGGAAGATAAAGAAAAACCTCGAGGGTTGGCACTGCAGGATGAAGAGTCCTGATTTGGTTTTGTTGGCAGAGACAGTCAGAGACTTGAGTTTGAAAGTTCCTCTGACCAATTAGCGGGCAAGATTATAGAAAGTCACGATGCCACATTCTTTAATTTACATGTGCTAATGCTATTCTCAACTCAGAGCAGCAAGATGTCTTGATAGGAGTTCAAGAAAGAAAACAATATATACAGTGAGTGTCTGAGTTCTTGACGTGTGACTTATGCCTCCGATTCCAGCTAACATTAGTCCTTCTTGGCGTCAATCAATTTGGGTAGTATTTCCTGTCACACACAACTGAGGAAGCCTTAACCAATAAACAATCCTCAGCAGCTGGGTCAGCAGTAGACAGAGAAGGGCAAAGGAGTACATGAATGTTTTAGCCGAGGAGGCTGAATGAGGGATTTTGCAATACAGTACTTTGAAGAGGTAGCTGTCTTTGCTAGAAGCATCCGGGAAGAAAAGTCAAAGTGGCCATGAGAACCACAGGCCTTGGGAGGCCGAGCCATTAGCTAACAGATACATATTAGCCTTTTCCCCTTTTACACAGAAAGAAATGAAGGAACAGAGAAGACATTTGTCCAAGAGCCACAAACAGGGAAAATCCATTTGATATCAGAATACAAAGAACAATTGTTTTGATATTAAGATGTGCTGGTAGAATCCATCACTTACCGCTTGTCCAAAATTCCTATATGATATAGAATTAAATTCAGACAACTCCATAATTATTAGAATTCCTGAAGCAACTGCAACAATTACACTGAAGATGTTCGTGATCAAGGCGTATATAATCTGAAAAGAGAACGACAAATTGGTAATAGCCAGAATAAACACTTTGGTTGAATAATGTGTATTGTTATAAAAAAATTAAGTTAAAACTTTGATCTAGTCTCTCATTTACAAGTATGGGTAAGTTTTTGGTTTACATGAAACCTAGTTAACTGGGAAAAGACACTGAAATATCATCATACCAAAAAGCATCAATCTTCCATTTGTGCTCAAAAATATTTGCATTTTATAATCTTCTGAGTCAGCTGGAAGAAAGTCTATATAATATATGATTTGAACAAAAGGAGTTCCACTACAGAAAGAAAAAAAAAGATGGAAAATGACTGCAGAAATAAGTGAAAAAGGACTGAGTGATCTTCAATCCGGGTTTTCATTCTTTAAGGAAATTCATCAAAATTTTTTGATTTTGGTTTTATTATCTGTATAATTATAATTATGTGACCAGACAGATTTATTTCTATGGCATTTTTTCGGTTAAGAGTCCCAGTTTCCCTTCTGCCGCGTCTGTCTACCCAGGCCATGGACGGGTCCCTACTGCGGACAGGTCCTCCTTCCATCGTGTTCCAAGAGCCAGCTCCGCCCCCTGGCGGGCAGGACAGCGGAGCTACAGGGCAGCGCTGCGTCTACACAGCACCAGGCCCATCATCTGGCTGAATGGTGAAGTTCACAGCATGTGAAATGAAAGTGAATATCAAACCAAAAAAATAATGCCCGTATTTAAATTTAGAAACCTTTACATAATCATGACTCTAACAAATACAGCATATTTGTCTACGTTAAGTTACGTTCTCTTGGATTTCCAATTAGTTCCTTCATTTATCTTCTAGGTAGTACAGATTACTTCATTGGTTAGATATCACTATTTTTCAACAGAACGATTTCACTTTGTGGTAAGTGACTTCTAGGACGTTCTAAGCATTCCAACTTACCATTTGTAGAGTTGGGTGCCTTGTTGCTCCTATTACCACTACTCCTGAAATGATAAACTGGATATAAAAATATATATTTATAAATACTCATTGATAATATTCAGCCACTTAAAAGTGTTTTTTAATAACTCCCTCTTCTAAGTCAATTATTTTTAGAATACTTACTAAGTGCAACAAAATATAAAGATGTCTTATTAGTAGAAAGGGTCAGGGTAAGTTCCCAGCGTTAGTAATTAAGACAGGGTCACTAGAGACAGCGGCCGAGGTGGGCTCTGCCAGAGGCGACCGAGGCAGTCCTGATTCGGGGACCAAGTTTGCCTCTGTCCATTCCTGAACTCACTCCAGGACCACATGTAGCCTGTCCTCACTGGCGAGACAGCGCCGCTGACTACCACACTGGGTACAGATCCAGACATGAGAAAAATGATCCACTGGCCCACTGCAAACTGTGTTAATACAAAATACAGCTCCTAATGGAGGCCGCAGCTACTACTCACATTTTGGTCTTACTTTTTTTTTTTTAAAGGTTCAGAATTTTCTTTCTTTTACAGATTTATTTATTTATTTATGCATACAGAACTGGGGTACAGGCCAGAGGTGCAGGGGTGGTGAGAAGGTTTACCAGACACTGAGTGGGGGGCAGAACAGGCAGATCAATGAATGCTGCTGAGGGGAGCAGCGGGCAGGTCAGGAGAGGTCTGCTGTGCCATGGGAGTCACCTCCTGGGTGGGGGATCGAACTTGCAATGAAGCAGCCAGCCAGCAGTGCTGCATCCTAACCCGCTGCGCCACCAGTGAGGGCCCTCGGCCTTACTTTTTAAAAGCAGCTCCGTTATTTCATGCCAGGCTACCTGGTCCATCTCCCAGAAATGTGTTGCTAAGCCACGGTGTGTGAAGGGGGATTGCACAGTTCCCACCTGACTTAACGTGTTTTAGATGCTTTGACACAAATCTAAGTTAAAGGCTATTTTGTAGAAAAATACACAAGAAAAATACCTGGCACTTTACTTCGTAACTAAAGCTGAGCTCTCCGAGGAGGTACACACTGAAGGTATGAGCTAGTTCAGAAATTGAAGTGAAAATGTGTGAGTTGCAAACCAGAGCACTGTCTAACCAGATCATCAAACCACCGTGCTTTACAAAATGCCTTTCCAAGTTTACCATCCGAAATGAGAAGTTTTACATTGCTTAAGGTAAACTCTTGGGTAAGTTACTACAGCAGCTCGAGCTGTCTATATAGCACGAACAATCAAACCTTGAGAAACATGGATCATTATCTGGATGTTAAAGGCAAGCCCAGTATTCTTCTCCTGCTGCTCTTCTAAGGCAAAGCTCTGAAACTCGCTGGACATTTTACGGAGACAGGGCTCTCCCAGAGGCCACCGCCGAGCCGCACAGCTCTCAGGCACCGCCGCTCGCAGGTGACAGCCCTCACAGTCCCGGCGCTCCTGCTCCTTTACTTACTGCCATCCGCTCACCTCCAGCTTTGAGCCAAATGCCACTGGGCTCATTCACCTGCCATCTCTCTGGCTGAGTCATCTGCTGTCCCTGTGGTCACGCTTTCCTTTTTGGTGATTGTGACTTATATCTCTAGCTCTCTGTCCACATCTCTTAATCTACAAATTTTAGCTTATACATGTATACATTCCTTTACCTGTGCTTCTCTCCTCCAGCCGTCTGATGCCACCTTATCTCATCACTCTCATCCACGATCTTGTCTTTGTTTCTGGGAGAGAGTTATACCTCTCAAATCTCAACTGCAAGTATCTACTCTGAAAGCCCATTCCACCTCTAGTTTATGCCCTGACAATCCTTGGATCTACCTGAATCTATCCCATCTTTACCTCACTGTTACAGTCTCACCTTCACCATCTCATTTCATGGTCAGCAATTACAAGTACACCCTTGTTTGACCACGGATATGTGGTCAAACCACAAGGGTTGATTAAATGCAGTTTCCCTTCTCTCTGCAAGCCTGCCCCCCTGTGGAAGTTCAGACACGCAGCCCTGTCACCCAGCTCAGTAGCCAAACATTTCTGGAAAGTGACCTTCCAATGCTGCATTAAAGTTAAACCGCATTCCCATAATCCATGCACTCTGCTTTTCCTAGATGACTAGGCCATCTGAAACATCTGAAAAAAAATCAATTTCCTCTCCCATTCTCACTCCCAGCTCATGATCTTGCTTCCTAATTCAGTGACACACCTGAAGCTATGCAAAGGAGTTATACAAGCTCCCAACATCTCACCTACTTACCTACAAAATCTGTCCTCTCTCTCTGCTCTTCTACCGTCCTCCCTGTAGCTTTCTCTCGACACTATTTAAATTACTGGTGGAGAACTTGTGGCGAATGCTGTTCTGTGCCCTGTACGATGCTGAGCGGCATCCTTAACCTCTGTCCCTCCGATGCATGCCTCTAGTTGTGACAACCAAAATCATCTGCACGTACTATCGAATACCATCTGGAGGGCAAAATCACCTCTAGTTGAGAACCACTGGCAGAGATGATTATCCATGCTTCTTGCTATTTGCATATTAAAATTCATCATTTCTCGGGCCCTTCCTGGTGGCGCAGCGGGTTAAAGCACCACACTTAGAAGCTAAGTCCATCTTAGCATGAGTTCAATCCCCACCCCCGAGGTGACCCACATGGTGCAGCAGACCTCTCCTGACTCGCCCACTGCTCCCCTCAGCAGTGGACTTCGACAGTCGGTCTGTTGTGCTCTCTACTGTTTCTGGTGAATCCTCTCACCACCCCTGCACCTCTGACCTGTACCCCTGTTCTGTATGCATAAATAAATAAATCTTTTAAAAAATTTCATCATCTCTCATCTGCACAAACACGTAATTCAAATAATCCCTTTTCTTCCCCACTTACTTCACGCTATCAGTTTTCTTTCTGCTGGCTCAGTTCTTTAAACAAAAGACTTGGGGCTTCCCTGGAGGCTAGGCGTTCAGACACAGTGCTATCACTGCTCTGGCCTGAGTTTGGCCTTTGGCCAGGGAGCTGACTCATGCATGGAGAGCAGACCTCTCCTGACTCACTCTTGCTCTGCTTACCATGTATTTCAGTCGATCTGCCTGTTCTATTCCCCACTCTGTCTCTGGTGAATCCTTTCACCCCCACACCTCTGGCCTACACCCCAGTTCTTCTACAAAATAAAGAGACATGACATTTCTAACTTGCTGAAACAAGTAAGAAAGCCAATATGACTGTCCAGAAGCCACAGAAGAGTGCAGATAATGACAAATCTAGAAAATGTATGGGTAGGGACTCATCAACTATGAAACCTCATCTATGAAAATGAACCATCCCAGTGAGGATTATGGCTGAGTCTTCGCCTTTCACACATCTAAGTACAATTAACCACTGGCTGTCACTGTGTGGCCGCCCCATATCCACCTCTCTTAGAACACCACTGGTAAATTACAGGTACTCAGTATTTACTGAAAATAGGAATTTGACTTTGAGGAAACCAAAAACATGGGATTTTAGTTACATAATTCTATATATAAAAAAAACCCCAAATCCTTGTTTAGTAACTGTTCTCTCTTCCATTCATGCCATATTATCTACTGAATGATAAGTCATATAAATGTATTCTACTCACAGTAAGCCCCCATAAAAAACATGCTGTTCTGAAAGTTATAGGGTCATAAATCCCAAAGACTCCTTCAATTTGTGTCAAATACAAGATCAATAGGAAATACCACATGAGAACGTAAAAACTGCCAATCATAATCTGGATAGCCTGTGAGAAGAGAATGCTGTTAGTGCTGATGACATCAGTCTGATCAGTGTCCACGGTTAGACACATATAACGTGTTTACAAAAACAGCAACATAAGAAACTATATAATTCCTGGATTACTAGGCCCAAAAAGGCTCTAAGGGTTACCGAACAGGAGTCAGGTATGCTAGGAATATCAGACAGCTCAGTATTCTTTCAATTCTCCTGTAACCGAATTGTCTCTCTGCTCCCTATAAGTGACAGCATGAGAGGAGACGATGGAGGCACCTGAGAGAATAAATGGTTGCTCATCCCTTTGGATGCAGGAAGCCATGAATCCCTATTTTATGTTCATGACTTATTAAGGGTGTGTCACTTTTTGACTCTCAGAAAGGTTTGATTTATCTTTCCCTTTAAAAGCTCTGTGGCTTCAAAGAGAGTCAGATCTCCGCTCGATAGGCAGGCAGGAGACTGCGCCAGCTGGTCTACACAAAGCCATCTCAAAGGAAAAGTTCGCATCCCCTGGAGAAGTTGTCTTCCTTTTACATGTAAGGAGTGATCTTTGTAATTCCTTCCTGTTGAGAGCTAGCTAAGCTTTGTTTATAATTTAAAGAGATGAATTAATAATCATCTATTGCCCAGATATCAATACAGTAACTAAAGGAGATCAGCAACCTATCTCTTACAGTTACACTCCTTTCTTCCTTTATTCCTCCATTTTCTTTCACCGTGTACATGCTGGCTTAATCGGTATGTACCCTTAGGTCTAAGCAATTATTTGCTTATGGACATGAGAGCTGCGCCTTGTCTAAATCTTTCCCTCTCCAGATCCAAGAATATTCCTTATTAAATTGAGATAGTGCATGACTGAGTTTAAGGGAAGTCTTACTTACCCCTAAAACAAGACCATCTGCTTTAGAGAGTCTTCTATGCACACATGCCATACTACCAGCATTTCCTCCAGATGATTAGGTCTCTGATCTTTGTGCTGTTTTTATTAGCAAATTTCTGCAAAACAATACAACACACACACACACACACACATGCACTCTGCTCAACAGGAAATATTTATGGTTGATTCCGACTGCTTTGCAACCACTGACCCAAACTAAGGAGTGATCACCTTCTTTCCAGACCTTAATTTTTAGAAGTATCCACCTTTCCTGAATGGCAGTCTCCATAACTGAAAAGTACTGGAATATATTTTTTTCTCTTTTTAGTAAACAATGCATCTCTGGATGGTAAAAATATAAAGAACACCCATAGAGTAGTATTTTCAATAAAGCTTTTATCAATTTATTTGCAATTCATAATCAATTCATTACATTTAATAATGCCATGTTTGCATTTTAAAAACAAAGCTATTGTACTTATCTTCATTAAGAAAGCAAAGAGCATCCCACTCTTAGGTATGTACCCAAAGGACACAAAAACATCCATTCAAAAGGACACCTGCACCCCCATGTTTATTGCTGCTCTATTTACAATAGGGAAGACATGGAATCAACCTAAATGCCCCCAAATAGATGACTGGATTAAAAAGACGTGGTACATATATATACACAACGGAATATAATTCAGCAATCAAAAAAAGATAAACACGTTTTTGCAGCAACATGGATGGAGCTGGGAGGGATGATGCTTAATTAAATGTCAGAAAGAAAAAGAAAAATACTGGATGGTTTCACTCATAGCAGGAGCAGAAGGCATGGGCAGGGGGATAGACTTGATTATTTCAAAAAAGGAGAAAGAAAACCTACAATATATTCCTGGAATGGTTAGATGTAACACACACACACATCCTCTTCCATATTCCTGGAATGGTTAGATTTAAAACACACACACACTCACACCCTCCCCCCGCATATTCCTCGAATAGTTCAATCTAAAACACACACCACACACACACACAGATTTAAAACACACATATGGTTACATGACAATCCAGTTAAGCATCACATTTTAAAAAAGGATTCTGAAATAAAATAAATAGAAGTAATCGTTTACTTTCTGGAGACCCCCTGGCTAATCCCAAAGCAGTGGGCCTCCAGTCCTTATTCCCAACCCTCTGTCCTCATCCCTAAACTTGCTTTACTTAAAAAAGCTGGCACGGTCATCAAAGTCCTATCTGTAAAGTACTTCTCCGTCTTTAGCAGGAGTGAAAACTCCTCACTGTCTCCCCTGGGCACAGCAAGCCCTTCATGAACTGTTCCCCATCCTCAGCACTCCCGGGACTCCGCTGCCGCCCTGCCACGGGGCCGCCTGCTCTGCCTTCCTGGCTCCCCTCGAGTTCTCCTACTTCCTATCACCTCGAAGACTAACTTTTGACTTTCAGGACCGGCTCCCAAGCCAAGCGTCAGCTCCCAAACTTATTTCTGCATGTCCAGGGCCGGCTCTGAGCCGTGACCCTGAGACACCGGTGTGATGAAACCAAGACGGGGTGCACAGGTGAGGCCCAACCTGTGCAGAGGGAAGGGAGAGTGTGTGTGGGGGGGTGGGGTGTGTGTGTGTGTGGGGTCCCCTGAATCGTCTCTACGACCCTTGACGGGAATGTGACATTCAAGAAACTGTGCAGGCGAAGTGACAACATTACCCCGCATTGTACTGGATCAAGGTCTTGGTGATCAAGTTTCGTCCTCAGGTGGAGGCCCAAAGGCCCCCCGCGCGGGCCGGTCGCCCTGCCCCCCCGGAAGGGGTCTCCCTGCACCCGGTCCAGGTTCTCCCGCCAGTGCGCAGGCCCGGAGAAGGAGGGAGCGCTCAGGTGTGGTGCGCTCAGGGTCAAGTCTCCAGGCCCGGCCCAGCAGTCATCACCGAGCCTGCTGGGAACCCGCGCAGGGAGGACGCTCAGATTGCGCCGACCTCCAACGGCAGAGGCGTGGTCCTCGCGCCTGCGCACCCTGCCCCTGCGCAGACTCGCTGCGCGGGCGGACCACGTGGTCTGATCCACACCACGTGATCAGCTGGTGGGAATTCTGGGAATGGTGCGGGGCTACTGACCCAGCTAGCGTGTGTCGAGTAGACACAGTCGCAGCTGAGGCACACATCACCGATGAAAAGACTGTTGTTCACCTTTTCTGTACGCAAAGAGTAATTCTATTCACAAATGCTCTTTAGAGGGTGTAATTATTGAAAATGGCCAGTAATGTGAGTTGATACCTCCCCCAAACCCCACTTTTAAGCTTAAGTCATCGCAGGGCTCTCACCTGTATTTATTAAAGACACCAGAGTGACTTTTTTTTTTAATTATTATTACCAAGTTTATTTTTACATCCGGAGTGACTTTTTAAGCCATCTGCTGAGGTGAGTTTACCTCAGAAGTTATTCCAGGTTTCAATTGATGTGGACAGTGGTTAAGTGTTTATGAAGAGATGTGGAAAGAAGTGAGGAAGCAGCCAGAAAATGTAAGGCGTAGGATCTGGGGAGATGCATGAGGAAGTAGTAAACCAGCAAACTCCAGCAAGAAATGTGATCGTAAATTAACTGACAAGCTAATAGGTCATCATGTTAGCTTACCAGGGCGCTAAAGAAGCCGAGAGCAGACATCCCTGAAGCTATTAAGCAGTGCAGATTCTCATTTCAGGAAAATTTGCTTCGTTGTCCAGAGAAGTTGAACATTTAGTGAATGATAACCAATAAGGAAAACATTCAGGAAGACTGATTATTTTTTTAAGAAAATAAACCTCATAAGTGCCTCTAATGCCATTATAGTTGTTAAATTATGACTATTTCAAAGCTGCTGTGATCTTTTTATGATCATGAAAGAGGTTTAAAGTCGATTATGAACCCACTCTGTCTTTTGTTCTATTGGCATCCTTACATTGTGATTCCAAAGTGACCACATTAAAAAATATATATATATATGCCCAGGCTTTTATAATCTGTATTGGCTGCTAAATCCTAGAGATATTAATTTTATTCTTAAGTGCTATAGCAATTCAGTTTCTCAAATTCATTGACTAAATATGAATACATATTTGGGATTTTGTAGAAAAAACATGGAATCAAAGCAAATAAACTATAGCTTGAACAGGGTTGCCTTATTTGGCCTACACTGCAGTTCTATGCCAAAAAAAAAAAAATTTTAAAAAAGCTAAGAAACAAGCATTGGAGAGGGAGGTGAGAGAAGGGAAGCCTTGTACCTGGTTGTTAGAAATGTAAATAGGTGCAGCTATGATGGAAAGTAGGATGGAAATACCTCAAAAAAACAAAACAAAACAAGATTCCACATCATCTAGTTATATCACCTCTAATTATCTACCTTAAAAAGAAAAAGCACTAATTCAAATAGACATAAGCATCTCCATGTTTATTGCAGCAAAATTGAAATAGCCAAGAATTGGAAACAACCAAAGTGCTCATTGATTGATGAATGAATAAAGAAGATGTGGTCTATACACACAGTGGAATACTATGCAGCTATAAAAACAAATGGAGTCCTGTTATTTGCATGGAAGGACCTAGAGAGCATTATACTTAGAGAAATGCACCTGACCAAGAGAGACACTCTATGATTTCACTTATTAGGTATATAGAAAAACAAGCATGAACTAAATAAATAAAAAATAAATAAAACTTTTGGATTATAGGGCTGATTAGTAGTTACCAGAGGGAAGGGGGATCTGGAGTCAGTAAATTGGAACAAAGGGCACAATGGTGTGGTGTAGGATAGACTGGACTTTTGGTGTTGAACTTAACATGGGGCATACACATACATTTTCAGTGATGCACCTGAAACTTATTAAAATGCTATGTCACATCAGTAGAAAAGTTTAAAAACTTTATCAATCTGCTATGCAGTGTTTTGTCAGACCTCCAGGTCTACAACTCATGAACCAAAATAAATTCAAACAAATACCAAAGAAGGCGTATGCTCCTAGTTAACATTTTATTGAGAAAAGAGGTACATTAACAGGAAAATTTCCAATTTCAAGATAGTTGTACAGTCATTTTAAGTCCTTTGGTCCTTTATCTCTCTGGTCCTTCATCTTTGCCAGTGTGTGACAGTGGTACAAAGGAAGAAACAGTGACAGGGAGACAGTCATCATTGGTGGCAAACTGAGCACATTTCTCAAATGCAGCCTTTAACATTTAGCATTCAGCATGGACAGTAAGGGCCTGCTTCTTAAGAAGTTTCTTCAGAGTAGTTCTTTGCCTTGAGATGTAGATGGTTTCTCCTTCTTTATATTCTAACAGCATTAGCCAGAGGGTCATAACTTGGGGGGGGAGCAGAGGAGGACCCTACTGTCAGAGGAATGGTTATGGGTATGGGTGAAGTGAACAGCACAGGCTGGAAAGAATAAACAAAACAGTCTTGTTATTAGAGTACTATTTAACAGCCTCTTCCCTCCAGAGTTAGTTCAAAGAGTGCTCTGGTAGACCACTGTGGGACTTGGCTACCCTTAGGGCTGTATTTCTCCACTATATATTCAAATTATTTTACCGAGAAGAGTCTCAGCTTACCTCACTGGTGCGGATTGCTTGTTTGGCAAGATGGACAGTGATGCAATTTATGATAAACTCCACAACAGAGAAGATAGCCAGTAAGGCTGAAATTCCTCTCCCAGAAAGCTGAAATCAGAAATAAACACACAGAGTAATCAGGAGAGCCTCATGCAGGCTTCAAAAGCTAATGGCTCGCTGTGTGCTGTGGCTTATTATTTCACTCCGTGATGAGTTCTGTTATCATCAATTGCCTATTTCAGGTGAGTGTGAATTAACTTCAGACTTTCTTTAAAGTGTTAGAAGATTTTCTATCTGCCCAATAGACTATTTGATTTAGAAACATTAGGAAACAGGTCGAATTTTTTCCCCTTTGCAATGGCTGTCTTGTTTTCACAAAAAAAATCTTCATCCCCCTCCCCCCTAAAAACTGAGCAATACAGAAAACAACTCGTTGTCCCAAATGCCATGGCCTTGAATTAAAAATAAGCATTGGGAGGGAAGTGCACGGGACTATGGTGATGGCACACGGTGACTCGGTGATGGGAAACCCACGGCGATTACAATTGAAATGAAAAAAAATGTATAAAATGATGTAAAAATAAACTATTATATTATATAAAAAAATCCTTTCATTTTAGATCTCTGTCTGCAGGCAGAAGGTGAACAGAAAAATGGGGACATGAAGAGATAGCAATGGCGGGGCGGGGAGAGGGAGGGAGAGACAGAGGTGTAAGAAAGCAAGAGAGTATTTGTTGAAAGTGAAATCATTGTGTACTTAACTATTTTGAAGAGGAATTATATGATTATAAAAGAATCAAAAGAAGTCAATTTTGTTGAAATTGAAAAGTTAATGAAATCCATGACCACGTTGAGGACTTCTAAGTCATCAACCTACAGGTTTCCATTTAGACAGCATTAAATGATGGTGTAGTATTGAAAAAAGGCGTTTAAAACTATTTCAGATCTCGTCTTGCTTCTCTTCACTTCCTGGTTCTTGGCGATCATGTCATTTTTCACTTTCTGGTGTGAAATATGAAAGCGCTTATATTCAGTTCCGTAAGTTGTCGTTTCTCCAGTTGCTATCAATGGAAAAGCTGATTTTTGATTAATGTTCATTCTTTGTGGTTGGTATTACAGTTTGTGCCTTTGCTTCACTCCACCTTAGATACCAGGAGGACCTCTCAAATTTTTGCATCTTGTCTACACTTAGCTTTTGAGAATATGTAGAAGCACATGCTATGTTTTGTAATCATATGTTCTTTGGATTTCTGTTATCTTCTCATATGATTATTGTTTTAATGAAACACCTCAATTTCAATTTTATTTACATAAAATTTTCAATCGTTGGGAAATGCTATCTGGGTACCTTTAGGCATTTCTGGAATCTTTCCCATCGATCATGTGAGTAACAGTGAGCTGGACTCTTTTTGCCCTAGTCCATCTGTGGAAGTGACTTTTCCACTTTATTCTATGGTCCTAAAGGTCACAGGACTAGAAGAAAAGCTGGAATAGAAAAAGGGGTTTTACATGACATCCACTATACAGTAGTGAGAGAGGAAAAAACCCAACACGCTGTAAGAGAGGGGAGAAGAGACAAAGGTAGGTTACAGGATACTTACCACTGCCCAGAAGTCTTGTTGGTATGTCCCGTTAATGCCCTCATCTATTAGCAGAAAAATCACTCCAAAGAAGACAAAGATAGCACTCATGATGTTCATTCCTAGGCTGCCTCGTATCTAATGGACATATCAGTAAATAGAAATCACACAGGATAAATGAAATGAAATGTCGTAGGAATCAGTGGCAATTAATGGTCTTTAATCTTTACAATTAAAATATAATTTTTGAAGTTGAGATGACTTTTCCCCCCTCTATCTCTTGGGTAGTTATCATGAAAACTATTCTGTGGGCAGCCTAAATGCAGGGTATTTAATACAAAGCAACAGCTTAACTGTTATATTTGTATATAACACAAATAATAATCACACAGTACAGTAATAATACACAGTCTCTTACAGTAGGCAGGTCAGAAAATTTGCAGGAAGCCCTTTCCCCCAAATAGCTGTCGTGGGCTCGTGGTGTGTGTCTCCACCTCACCCACACCATCTGCCCGTCAGCAATGACAGGAGAGCGCAGGGTGGAGTGTCAAGACTGGGCAGTCTCCGGCTTTTTCCTGGTGTTCCTGTTGTACCTGGGACGACTCCAGAGTAGAATATGGAAGGCAACACACAGGCGCGCCTGTTTCCTGGTCTGACCCGTCTGCTGCAGTTCGTCCATCTGCCTGTTCTGCTCCCCACTCCATCTCTGTTGACCCCTCTTACTGCCCCTGCACCTCTGGCCTGTACCCCAGTTCTGTATGCATAAATCCATAAATTTTTTTTTTTTTAAAAAAGGAGTTTAAAAGTAGAAGTGGGATATCTTACCAGACAAAGATTAGGCTGATTGATTGCTGCCACAGAGAGAGCACCAGTGATAATGAACTGTAGAAAGACACATTTAGCTGTGAGGTGGTATGGGTTCTTTGATTCTTCCCAGCAACTCTCTTCTTCTTAAGAAAGGGTACTCTATTTATGTTCATCTAGTTTCCCTCTTAAAAATTCTCTCACATGTCTCGATTTTCTGGGATATGTCTCAGAGATGATGTCTTTTTTACTTGCTTTTTTCTTTCTTTCCTTTCCTGAGTTTCATGTTCACTGAGAACTCATTCCTAGTAAGCTTTCCTTCTGCTGATGACTTCTGAGCTCACTGCTCCATCTCTTCTCGTTGCCAATGCCATATTTTTAATCATTTCCCCAGTCACCCCTTTTACCACTCTCTACACAGCCCATGTAGTTCCCTCCCAAATGTCACAGGAAACTAAACTTGCCAGAGTGAGCTTGTCGGGTATGATTGAAATAGAGAACACAGCTCTCCCTTATCCCCACTCAGAAATGTCATTTATCTAGTTTCTCCCACTGATCACCCATAGGGCTTATAAAGAAAATGAGTTGTAGATAGGCTAGGTGTAGATATACTATATAAACTGAGAAGGAGAGGGGCGTGGGCAATCTACTCACGGAGAGGCCGCCCCAGAACGGATACCCGGTAAAAAAAGCCAGGGACCAGAATGTCATAACATTTAGATAATTAATGCATAATAAACCCAAAACAATTCCGAGGCCAAAATGGAACAATCCAATTGTGATCTGCATCGCCTGAAAAAAGAAAACAGACATTTGAAAATTGCTTTGTTTTCAGGCAATAGTGAAACATTGTTCTTATGGCTGCATCTGCTTAGATCTGCCAAGCCCCAAGGGTGCCATGGAGTCACAGCTCTAGAGCAGGAGGAGGACCATTAAGTTTCTGACAGGTGCTGGAGCCCAGGACACTTGCAGGGGTGGCCAAAGAGAATACTGCAAAAGTGCTACTGCTTAAGTATGCATTAGCATCCCCAGAGGAACCGCAAGAAGGCTCTAAGGAAAAATGCCTTCACCATGACGTGGATAACTAGACTTTTCAAGTGGACTGCTTCTCTGGCTGGGCCATCCCAGTCATGGGAGAACAATCAACAGAGAGAAAAATGATGGCTGTAACTAATGCTTGATTATGCTTGTTCTTATTTCTGCCTCCACTGTCTTCCTCCTTCTTTCCTACTCTATTGGCCTCCTCCTTGTTCTCCAAAGCCACCTTGCCTTCGAAGAGACCTTCTTAACTGCTACCTGCACAGCTCGCCCCTTTCTTCATGCCTCTGCTCAAATGTCATCTCCAAGCAGAGTGTACCCTGGTCTCTTACAACTTCCTAAAATGTCGAAGCTTGAAATATGTAATAGGACTTCCAGAAGAGTCTCTGGTAGGTCATGGGCACTCAGTGTAATTCATGAACATTCTAGCAGAGAAGGTAGACACATAGGCAGGGAGAGAGTGTGCAGTCTGCTGGGTTGTGTTAGTGGAGTGCACTGTAGCTGAAGGATGACCAAAAGAGGGGAGTGACTGTGGGGGTGTTTTCCCCTCTCCCCTGAGATGTGGATGTTCTGATCTGGGTACATCTGAGTGTGTTTTAAGCAATGGGGAGTTAAGGATGCAAATGCAATCAAGGTTGTTAATCAGCTGATTGAACAATTCTGCCTTGAAAGAGGGGTCTTATATATAACTTTTACATTGCCAAGGTAAAGCAGATCATGAATGATCAAATGCCCTTTGCGAGAGTGACAAGGAGAGCAGTTAAGTCATCACACCTGCATGGGTGCCTGGTGAGAGGCACCATCCATGGAGTAACTCCCTAATTATTTCACACCCTGTTTTCTAGACTGCCCATTTGTGGCTCCTAATGTTTTTCAGGTAGCCATGAATTGTTCAATCTAATATGAACTCACCTATGTACAAATGCCACCCTTGTAACTAAGCCACAGACAGGATCAAGGTACTTTGCAGAAGGGAGATCAAAGCAGAAGTGCGGGAGCTCCCATGACATCTACTGTCAGGAAGAACCCTTTCTCACTCATTAGAATTTCGTTTGACTCTAAAAGAACCCAGGATAAAATCTATATGCAGATAAAGTCTACATGGATCTTGAAAGGGATGTGGTTTCCAGCATAACATTCAGAACTTTTTAGTGATTGTATGTAGGTGATAAGATCAGAAACTTCTCTCCAACTGTAACTTCTAAGAACAATAACACCTTGCACATGCAGAGTTGAAATTCTGTAGTAAGTGGACTTACCCCTAGTGTTTTTGCCTCTGTAGTAAAGCTCCTAGATTTTGTTCCTACAATTGGATCCACTGTCTGTATATTTCCTTGAATCGGCTGACCGTTAGTGAAGATTCCTGAAATAACGAAGGGCTGCGGACCATTCTGAAATTGGTTCAGAACTATGGAACTTGAAGATGGTTGATATGGCGGAGGCAAGAAAAGACTGTTTATGTTTTCATGCACATTAGGTTGGGTTGTTGGCATGGATGACTGCATTCTGTCCTATTACAATAGAAAAAAACATGATACATTTACCCATAAAAAAAAACTGAAGAAAGTCTTGTCAAATGCCAATTACTTATGAAAGTGGAGGAGAACAAGGGAGCAGGTAGGGGGCAGTGACAACTAACACAAACATGTTTTTTTTTTTTTTAAATTATGAAATCTAGTACTTCATATACTCAGAAGGAAGTGAAGGAGGAGAATACACTTTATTTTGGAAAAATTACACTTATTTTCCCATTCCTCATTGAGTTTGTAAGGTCCATCTGTCTCCTAATCCAGGGCTGCAAACACAACTAGATTGTAAGAAAAGCAGTCCAAGATTTGTAATTATTTGTTGCTACTTTTCCAAGTAAAGAATTCACACATGGTTATGTCATCTAAGAAATAATCAAGCTGCAAGATAATGAAGAATATATTTGTTGGAGAAGGGGCAGCGTAGCCCAGCTCCACAGTAACAGACAGACCCAACGTGTGTTCCATCAGGGCTAAAGGTTGGGAGGGTTTTAAAAGGTTAAGCAGGGGGAGAGGTCTAATGAGGTTAAGTTGTTTGTTGGAATTTTGGGTTGGTTGACAGGAGTGTGGGGTGGGGTCTTTCTAACAACCAGCAGGCAGCTATACTTGTTCCTCATCATCAATAGGTAAGAGCAGGAGAGTTAGAAGTCATGGAGAAGGTAAAATTAGTGAGTCAGTGTTCTTTTGTAGTCTTCAGTAGGGGCTTCAGGTTGCTTACTTTCCACCTGGAAATCTCATTAAGGGAGAGATTTGTGGACGTTGTTTGAGTCAAAATAAGTTCCATGGTCAATTAAGTTGTTTAAGAAACATACTCAGGGTGTCTCTCATTTGTTTATGTTCTTGGTGGAGCTTAGAGCAGCTCTTACAGGGTCTTCAGTAGCCAAGGGAAGTGTTGCTGGAAATAAATCAGCGCTGCTAGTTATGGACAACAATCACTATTACTCCTTGAAAAAAATCGTAACAGAAAACATTGTTCTTGATGTTAGATTTTTTTGGGGGGAGGGGAACCTTCTCCTCAAGTCATTTTCTTATACATCCTGAATATCCAGAATGCAGGCGTTATGGATGCCCTCATCCTTGGGATGATGTACAAATTGCTCATGGGTATTTTAGGAGGGATGTTGATTCAGACCACGTACTCAGAGAATCCTGATACTTCCGCCACCACGGATGATGATGGCTAGTCCTAAAGGAGCCACTGTAGCCTGCAGTGAAACACCCTAGCCAGCTGTCACTCAGAATACCCAGGGACATAAATAAAGTGTGGACCTTCCCCCCATAAAAATGCTGGACTAGCAAGAAGGTGCGGCCCTCTCCGTGAGTCTCTGCCACGGAGGCACCTCAGTGAGTGTAGCTCACAGGCCGTGTGGAGCTTTGCCACGCTAATGTGTACCTGCAGCTACGTCATCATGAAAGGCTGCAGGGAAGGTGCTTCTCTGACTAGCACCCCCTGAACGGCACCTATTCCAACCGGCTCTGTCACCTCTCAGCACTGCTTTTGAAGTGTTTCCTGCGGCCGCCATTTTCTGGTCCCGCCTCTCTGGCCATTCCTTCCTTGTTTCACTTCTGGTCCCTCTCCTGGTGGCTTCCGGCTCTCTCCTGCTGCCCCAGACAGCACCAAGCCCTGGAGCCCAGGGCGAGGCTGAGAGCCCACGCAGGGCTCAGACCCGGCCCCGCCATTATTGAGATGAAGAGATAGGAAAGCTGTTCCAGCAGACTTACTGTGTTCCTGGGGCGCCTCTGCTTTCTCCTGCTCCAAGCTCTGTGCTGCCGGAGTCACCTGAATTTTATGGCTGCCTTTTACTTCCTTGCTCCACAGCCTATCTGTTATCTTTAATTAGTTCCAAAGTCCTTTATCCTCCCTTCCACCCTCCAGTGCATAAACAGTCGTAATGTTTGAATGTGCTTCCACACTCCCTCTCTTTTGGTTTGGGAAGACAGCCCTGACACTTTCTTGGGTCCCAGTTGCACTTTCTGGTACTTATTCGTGTGAATATCCTATTGGGTGATGGTTGCCAATACAAGGCACAATCCCTAGGCAACTTGCCACACACATTGACAACAGCCAGATGGGTCTGTGATCTATTCAGGTTGTCGCGCTTCGTTAAATTTTTTCCTCATACTTCCTGACCTTGTCTTTCATAGGTTAGTTTTAAAAAGAGTCTCAATCTGTGGTCCACAGTTTGAGGAGTCTCCGCCTGCATCAGACATGGCGACTCCATGTTTACCGGCCCAGACGTGTAAAGTAGATCTGAGGGCACATAGGCGGGGGAGGGGAGCCAGCAGGCTTAGGGCTCCTGTTCCATCTCTAGAAATAAGTCAGACTTTAGACCTCAGCCACTGGTGATGACGCATGTAGCCGTGCGTTTATAACAGTTTAGGATTGCTTGAGAAGTAATAGTGCATGACATTTAGATACTTTATAAAGGAGGTTTATATTACAGAAATCTTGTAACAGACTTCATTGCCATTTTATACACTGGGACCCCAGTTTTCCCAAGGGGAACGATCTGGTAGTAATCACACATTTAGGAAGCGGCAGAATTCAAAGTGAATCTGAGCTCAAGCCCTGTTCTGACATGCGCACGGCACCTGCAGGGAGCGGGGTCTGGGTCTGCAGGTCACATGAGAGCGCCGGACAGTGGAAGCCGCGAGGTGGTCACGCTGGTGAGGAACGCGCGCTTCCAGGCATGGCTTTTCATGAGGGTGGAAGCCGATGCGTGGGCCTAACTGCAGCCTGGGAGGCCAGCGGGGTGCAGACCAGCAACTGTGAGCTGCGGGTGACAGATGTCACCAACAGGAGTCCTTCATATGTAATCTTTGCTCTTTTGTCTTAAATTTCTTGCATGTTTGGGGCAAGAATGCTTTTATCCTTTTTTTCTGAGACATCAGGACATTACCTTGGAACCCTGAAGAGGCAAGAAAATACGTCTTTCTGCTTCTCTGCTGACCCCATGCGACTAGATAGCAGGTGAATGCATTTGAGAGATGTAAACTCCATAAAGGCACAGATTTTGGTGCAGATTTTGTCCGTGCTGTTCCCTGCTTATCTCCTCATACTTAGAAGAGTAAACGTCTGAATTTGCTAAGTGAATATGGCCTTGTATCTGTCTGTGACTACAGATTTTAGATCTTGCACAATTCCCAGGTAATTCCTCACCCCACTTCCCAAACTATTGAATCACCCCCTCCTCCCTTTTATGACCAAACACTCCAACAGCAGTTTTCTCTCTCAGCTTCAATGTGGTCCTGCCACTTCCACTTTTCAGTGAATTGGATTGCTTTATTTCCATCATACAGTTCTAAAATTGTTTGCCCTAATAGCTGAACCCAGTGGCTTCTGTTCAATTTGCATTTTTAAGGATTTCTTCGCGACTTTTGCTTTCCCGCTTCCTGTCCCTGTGAGATATTGGTCCTATTTCAGCTTCCAAGACAGGACACTCTCTTTAGTCTCTGATATGTTGCAAGTTCAGGAGCTTCCTGGGTATAATTTGAAGCCACTGAGGAGGCCCAGGACAGAATTAAGAAAGGTTGGCCACTCTATTTTTGGTAAGTGACAGGTTTCTTTTTTCAACACAAATTTTATTTTATTCTTTTTTCAACACAAATTTTTAAGGTTTCTTATTTCAACACAAGTTAGATTGGTCTAACTTGTATGACATCATTTGATGGGGTGGGTAGGCTCTGAGAACGTGCTGCTGTGTCAGCCTCAGAGTAAGATGTTTGTAATCCGTTGCTAACTGCATCTCATTATTATTACCTTTCACTTTTCTTAAAGCCAGGGTGCATAAGGAACTCCAGTAAGGGTACACATATGGCAGGAATGGGAGACAGTTTAGGGAACAGGTTAGACATTTATCTCTTTTATCAGGAGCACAAAGAACACACTGGTGAGGGGGAAAACCAGTTACTGCTGCTACTACACTTTTATGCAAGGAAAAGGCCAGAGAGAATTCAATGGCCCGAAGAAGCCCCTCTAGCTTCCCTTTTCTGCGGGACACTGTGCCCATGATGGGTACATTGGCAGCGGGGGGCTGTGCTTTCTTCATGAAAGTCAGAGAGGGGTGGGGAGGATACACGCAGAGTGCCTCAAGAAACGGGGTGAGCCTATCTCTTGGAAGCTATGAACGCTAATGCTTCAAAAGGGGGAAGAAAGTAGAGTTTCAAGGGGTACTTTCAGTTTCTATTGGCAAGGGCGCCTCATCTTGGGGAGGTTCTGGGAAGTTTATTTCTGTTTCTTCTTCTTCTTCTTCTTGGATTGGCATAATCTCAATCTCTTCTTCATTCGGAGGCTGGGAAGATACTTCAGTCAGCTCAACCATTTCTTCTTTCATTTCAACTACCTGTTCTTTTTTGTCTTCAGCTGACAGGAGAATCACATTCTAGAACACAAAATCAAACACTTTTTTTGACCTTCACCATTGACATGTTTCTCAACAATCTCTGTAAATATTTATCAAATTCTTCCTATTTTTAAACTGTTTGTGATAGTTCCCGCATACCTCCTAGGTGTGCAAATCCTTTTCAAATCACTTCCACAATTCATCCTCAAGACCGGGGACATTTATCACTTTGCCTGGAGTGACCACATAGTATCCAGGAAAGAACATTCTATTCATAGGGAAATTGAAATTCTGGTTCTGATTTGCCTTTATTGGAGATAAGCTTGAGGTAGTAACCTGCAGTCTTTACCCCTATTTCCTTCATCTGCAAAATGAAGGAGTGAATGGCGATTTGAAAATTCTATTCTAAATCCAACATTCTTGGTGCGAAGCACTGGGTAATAGTTCTGACACCCAGAGGGTCAGATCTCCCAGCTGCGGGGGCTCTTTGAACCCCCACAGTTTCAGAAGAGGGATTCCATGGTAAGGTGGGCTGGGGAAAGCAGGAGCACTGAGGAATGATGGGAGGACTAATGTATCGAATCAGCCTTCACCCTTCAGCCATCCCGAAATCTAAGCGCAGAATCCAAATCCTAAGCCATACTAAGCATACAGATCCACACTAAGCATAGAATCGTGAAACTGAGACAGAACTCAGGAGAGGCACGCAGGGACAGAACTATATCCAGGTTTAACCTTTAGACTGATTTCCAGTTTCAGGACACTTCCCCTCATTATCTGTAGTTTCTGCTTCCCCAAAACACAGCAAGACCATTTCATGGAGCTGCCACTCTCCAAGTCTCATCAGATCACATTCTCTGGAACCTTGGCAGATGGGACTTTCCTAGCGGGAAGTTGTGGGCAGCGGGGCCCCCACTTACAGCTTTGGGTCTGGAGCACATTTTCTTCCACTCGGTCTCAACGGTGCCGGCGGTCACGAGCTTCTGGAGGAAGACGAAGACCAGCATGACGGCGAAGATGCTCTGTATGACAGAAGAAGGAGGGTGAGGATGTAGTAAGGGATGAAAGAACATGGCTGGTGTCAGGAGTGACTGTTCATCACATCAAATGCAGAAAAGACGGGTGACTGTGAGAGCTACCGCTGTTTATAGCCCTAACCCTTAGCACAACATTGGCATGGAGCTAATGCCTGTGGCTGATGGAGAGTATGGTGTCATAATTAGCCCAGGAATCAATTCTATGTAGAAAGAATTATCACTGAGTTCCACATTAGCTTGTACTTCCACACTCGAGACAGACATTTTTCTAACCCTACCCTGAAGAGTCCTTGGAGCAGACGATGTCCATCACAAGCTAAGTAGTTCTTCCACGTTTGTCTCAATCAATAGCAATCAATACCAGTGCTACTGATGACACTATTGTTGATTTGTGTTAAAGTAAACACGTACATAGCACTTACCATGTCTCAGCTGCTGTCCTAAGTGCTTTGCATAGAACAATTCACTAATTCCTCAGAATAGCCCTACAAGGAGATGCTGTCATCTTCCCCATTTTATAGTTGAAGAAATTGAGGCAGGGGGAGGTTAAAATGTTTGCTCTAAAGCCACATAGGCCATAAAAGCAGAAAGCCTGGATCCAGAGTCGATGCTCATAATAAAAAGGTCAGACTTCCTCCTTGCAAAGAAATCTCCTCTCACACTTACCAAGAACACAGATCTCATGCTATAACAGTGTTGTGTGGACAGGGAGTTTTCCTCGGCAGGGTCAGCTTGTTGACAGTTGTAGATGTTAAGATATGGAGTGGAAACTTTAATAAGATGCAGACTCTCCATTTTAAAAAAATGGGAAATGGTAATATTAAATATATCCATGATCAAAAGAATTATTCCAGAAATGGCAGCAAAGAGGCTGAGGGAGTTCATCATCATTTTTCCTTTGATCTGAAATAAGACACGAAGATTCATGAGCTGGGTTTGGTTTCCACTTGGAGAACCTAAGCTGGGAAAAAACTCTAGGTCCCTCTCCGCTGACTCAGAAAGGTACCGCACCGAGCCTTCCCTGGTGTCGCAGCGGGTTAAAACACAGCACTAAGAAGCTTAAGCCACTTCTGCATGAGTTCAATTCCCACCTGACCCGCCCGCTGCTCCCCTCAGCAGTGTACTTCGTCGATCTGTCTGCTCTGCTCCCCTCTTTGTCTCTGGTGACGCCTCTCACCCTCTGCATCTCTGGCCTGTACCCCAGTTCCACATGAAGAAATAAATAAATCTTAAAAAAAACAAAACCTATAATAAAAAGAAAAGAAAAGAAAAGAAAGGTACCACACCGAAGGCTCACTGAAGTTCTTCTCTTGGAGGTTTTTAACCTCTTTGTCTCTATAAAAATAACAACTTTTAGCTCTCAGTCCTGTCTCTTTCATCTGTTTCCTCCGTCTTATTTTATGCGATCATCATCCAACTCATTTGTCAGAGAAAAATTCTCAGTGACCTTTCATCCTGTATCCTTTTTTCTTTTTCCTGCCACAGCCTAGTAGGCATGCAATAAATACTTGCTGAGTAAGTGCAAGTAAAGGGTGGGCAGGTTCCAGCTGTTTATATGAGAAGGTGGAGGGAAGAGCGTGTGTTCTTACCGCAGTGAGATGGGAGAGAACAGCAAACAGAACTCACCAGATCTCTACCCTCCAGAGGACAAATAAAATAGCATCTCCTCTCTAGTCATCATCATCTCTCCAGCTGCAACCAGCCCCCCTCAACCTCCTTTCAAAATGCAAGTGGGAAATAATAATAATAATGAACAACTATATCCCAGAGACATTTTACGGGGGTGGAGTGGGGAATGGGATCAAAAATGGGGGGGGGGTGTGCACTGGACTATGGTGATGGCACAAGGGTGACTTGGTGCTGGGAAGCCCACGGGGGTGCCGACTGTGATGGAAAAAGGCACAAAGTGATGCAAAAATAAACGCTTATATTATTAAAAAAATACAAGTGGGGGCTGACGTCTGTGGATGCCGAGGCAACTGTGAATGTCCGACCTGTCTGGGGTGATAGAAGGCAGCAACGGTGTGGGTTAATGATCACTTTAAGACACACCTATTTCATTCCTGGCTGTGTGACCTGGACAGGGTGAGTCATTGGGCTGGCTATAGTTAGAAAAGAAAGCAACTTGATCTCCATCAAGTTTTTCCCTTCAAAAGTGAGTTTCAGATCACCTGAGAGGATCCCCCTCAATCCACTCCGTCCCTCACTCACTTTGGAAGTGGCTTTGGCTGGGAATAACTTAGTAGGAATAAAGATGCTGGGGGAGGAAATCTGGAACTGGACCCACCGGAATTGGGAGCTATTCCCGGGTGTAAAACTGTCCCTAGGGGGCCCTCCCTGGTGGTGCAGTGGGTAAAAGGCAGCACTGCAAGCAATCTGCAGCCACTTCACTGTGAGTCTGATCCTCAAGCCTGGGGGTGCCCCACATGGCTCAGCAGACCTCTCCTGACCCGCCCGCTGCTCCCCTCAGTCGTGTATTTCAGTCAATCTGCCTGCTCTGCTCCCCACTCTGTCTCTAGTGAATCTTCTCACTGCCCCTGCACCTCTGGACCGTACCCCAGTTCTGTATGAATAAATAAATAAATCTTAAAAAAAAATTTGTCCCTAGGGGCGACAGGAGCTGGGCCATCCCGTGGCTCTGACATGCTCTGAGGCCCCTGCATGGACATTACTCCATTTCATACTCATGACAGTGTCACAGGGTGGTGAGAAATATTCTCTCCACTGCATAGGTGGCAATTTAGAGGTGAACAGACTGGCTCAAGGTTACAGCTCAAGGTCAGCCAGAACTTGAGTTAATCACTCGTGGGGCAGCTTTTCTCGATGGTGGGGTGGAGCTCTGAAGAAAGGGCAAAGCTTTTGAAGATCTGCTAGTGTCACCCAGCATCCAGCACCCACGAGACCATAGCAGGCTCTCCACCTGCCTCTCTTCTGCCCTGTTTCTAGGGACATGTCTGATGTAGGTCTCCTTTCCAACTTCACTTTTTAATTTTTTTTAAGATTTATTTATTTCTGCATACAGAGCTGGGGTACAGGCCAGACGTGCAGGGTGGTGAGAGGATTCACCAGAGACAGAGTGGGGAGTAGAACAGGCGGATGGATGAGGTACACTGCTGAGTGGGGCAGCGGGGAGATAGGAGAGGTCTGCCGCGCCGTGTGGGTCACCTCCCAGCCAGGGATTGAAGCTGCGCTGAAGCGGCTGCAGCTTTTGCAGTGCTGGGCTGTAACCCGCTGCACCACCAGAGAGGACTCCAGTCATGATACATTTTAATCAACCAGTTAAATCTCCAGAACTGATTTACTGAGGAATTAAAAATCATCATGAAGATGCTCAGTGAATTTAAAGAAAACACAGATAACTAAAATAAAAATCAGCAAAACAATATCAAGAAATAGATACCATGAAAAAATAGAAATTTGGGGACTGAAGAATAGAAAAATTGAATTTAAAAACTTACTGGAGGGACTCAGCAACAGATACACAGATGCATCCCATTGGCTGTTTCTCTTAAGAACTCTGAATAGCTGGATGGATGCACCTCCTGTCTCTCTAAAGGGGTGCATTTCAACGGGGCAGTTTTTTTTTTAAGATTTATTTATTTACGCATACAGAGCTGGGGTACAGGCCAGAGGCTCAGGGGCGGTGAGAGGCTTCACCAGAGACAGAGCGGGGAGCAGAACAGGCAGACTGATGAAGTCCACTGCTGAGGGGAGCAGCGGGCGGGTCAGGAAAGGACTACTGCACCATGTAGATCACCTCCTGGGCAAGGATCCAACTCATGCTGAAGTGGCTTTAGCTTCTTAGTGCTGCGCTTTAACCCGCTGCGCCACCAGGGAGGGCCCTCCAACTTTACTTTTTAAGAACTAAAACCACAACAGCATTGCAGAAGATCTTTGGCCTTTTGGGGCTGAGAGATATTCTGTGCCACCAGGATGCCAGGAGCCTTTAAGAGTCCTTGTTTTCAACTGAGAAAATAGCTATTTCTCTGCCAGGTGGAAAAGGACATAGGATTACTTACCAGACTCATTTTGGAACTTTTCTCTGCAGCTACCAGGAGCGATCCAGAAATGATATACTATAAAACAGAGATGGGGAGTGGGAAGGCGGGGGAGGAAGGAAAAGGGAGAGGGAGATCACGTCTAACACTGAGAAGGGCTTGTAGAACCACGACCCACCCCTGCAGCCACTTCCACTAAACTACCCAACACCCTGATCAGATTCACTCAAGTCCTGCTTCTTGGTTCACCAGACCCAGGTCTTTGGCTCATCCAGGGGGTGAGCTGGCAGAAGACCAGAGGCAGAGCTCACACTTCTGCATCAGTGAATATGTGTGCGATGAATACAGAGGTTTCCTTTCTCAGTATTCTTTTTGTAAACCTGTGGAATGGCCCTTTGGCGTGCAGATTTCAAGGTTTTGACCACTGAAGGGTGAGTTGGAGTGGAAGGAAACTCTGGGCCTGAACGTCCCGGCGCTCGGTGAGATGCCGGCCGCTATAGGGCGTGACCAGGGTCTTTCCCTGTTCCGTTGACAAAACAGCGTCGCTCCCAGACGCTAGACGCAATTGCAGTGGCCAGGCGAATTCACTACCCGCGGGGTTTGGGTCTGTGCACCCAAAATCGCCATAAGGACAGCTCTGCTGAGGGGCCCAGGAGCATACTCGGGGGCAGGACTAAGTTCACCAGGGCAATAACAACTAAGCCGGCGTGTAGGGAGGAAGCTCAGGTGGAGGCCAGTGGGATGACCCTGCCGCCCTTTGCGTTCTGAAACCCCCTGTTCCTACAGTCCAGATTCCAGGGCTCCCTCTCCCCAAGACTCGACACTGGTTTGGCTGATCTTTCCCCAAGTAGCTTCTCGTGGGGCATCCTCCTCCGAATCCACACCAGGCAAGGCCACTGGCTCTGAGCCCCAGGACTCAGAGTTTGGTCAAGCTCTTTTTCCTAAGTCACCTGAAGGGGGTAACCTGCTTCCTCCCACACACATTCCTCCATTCAGAAATAATCTGGCCTATTCCTGTGGCACATTGTGCAACTGTTGGCCACAACATTCCCCACTCACCATAATGCCTCCCCAGATCGGGTACCAGAGGGCCATGCAGATGGGGGTGTACACCTCCATGTGCACCAGCAGCAGGCTGCCCAGGGCCAGATGGAAAAGTCCATTCATGATCTGCACGGCCTGGGGAGGGAAGAGGAGGTGGGGGGGTCAACTGACTCCAGTCAGAAAGCAAACCGAAGACCTGAGACCCGGCTCCTGACCTGGGCTGGGTGAACTGAAAGGCAGCAGGGAAGATGCGAGACCCGTGTGTTGTTCAGATCCACCCCAACTCCTGACATCAAAGGCATCCGTGCCCTGGAGCCTGGGGACAAACTGGGAAGGGTGAACCCTGCGTGGGGGGGGACCCAGACTCAAAAGGGGGCACCAGGGCACCGAGACCATGGATCTGTACACCCGTTCGGCCTGCTGTGTCAGAGGTAAAGAACACTGCAGGTGGGATCTAGAAACGTCGAGGTGGACTGGATTCTGTACCTGGCCCAAACATCTCCACTGAGGGCCCGGGAATCCCTAGGGTAGGAACCAGGGCAGCAGACTTACCCCCAAAGCCTTAGCTTCCCTCAAGAAGAAGCTCTGTGTGGGGCCCACGATGGGAGACATCTTCCTGGGAACTAGCTTTTGGGAGGGATGCACAGAAATAGGGCCTCTGGCAGGCTCTGCCGGGAAAGCCACGCTCATGGAATTCCTGGGTGTTGTCATTACACTCTAGAGCCCCCTAAAAGTAAAACAATAAAAAGAGGTGAATGAGGATGGGGTTTTCCGCAGTCTTGCACTGGGCACCTGGACCCTTTCCTCCTCACCTCTCCACGGGAGACAGGCAGGCAGACAGACAGACGGACGAGCGTGGTGATCTCTATAGATAAAACAAGCCAGCAGAGGAGGCCAGCGGGCCCCCCTGGGCCCCCCAAGTCCCTGCCTGTTCGTCCTCACTCCTGGCCGCTTTGCTTTGATGTTGGAGAGCGCTTTCTGCATGGCGCGTCCTGTCCTCGGCCCTTGCTTGTCTGCTTTGGGCCACTGACAGGTTAGAGTGGGGACTGGCTTGGAATCCGGACAGGCTGAGCCCTGTTCTCCCTCCGCCTCGAGCTCTGTGACCTTCCCGATACTCTACTTGCTATGACGCGCCAGGAAGTCTCTTTTCGATTCTCCAGTCTGCAAGTTCTTCCTGAGGGCAAAGCGAGGCTCCTGATGAAGCTGGTCTCCGGGGACTGCTGTGGCCCTGAAGGGACCGGGGGGCTGTGTCTCCGGCAGGTGGGACTCAGCTGCACAGAGAAGCATCCCCTGAGCCCACCTTCTGCTGTACCTCCTTTTTCTCTCCAGCACCCCACGATTTGAATCATGCCATTGAGCACTCACAACTAGGGAGAATTTTGACTCTGCTGACTGACTTCTTTATTGTCCGTCTCTGCCCATTCCCTATCCTTCCATCAAAGCAGACACCTTGTTTTCTCCTGTCCGGTTTCTAAACAGGCCTGCCTTTAGCCACTAGGTGATTGTTATTGAAGAAATAAAAGTCGGTAAAGCCCCAAACTCTGACTACGTACTGCCTATTTGTTATTCTGATTCCTAGTGTTATTATGACTTGTATGAGCATTCATTTCTATTATTTCATCTAGAAAATGAGATCAATACCCCTCTTGAAGACACAGTGTGAGAAATAAATCAGCATCAGTGAAAATGCTAATATGGAGAAACAGTAGCCAGAGCTATTTGGCTTTAGGATTCACGATATTCATTGCTGAACTTGACAGTGACGACCAAGGTCATTTCCAGCTTACACATCTCAAGACCCTTCCTCTCTTTCCAACTTGTGCTTCCTGTTATCTGTTTATAACAATGCCTTCCTCAACTTCTGCCGGGGCTTTCCGGGGCCCTGGGAATCTCTCTTTGGTCTTGTTTTCTTTGACTGTCAGTCAGGCAGGGCCCTGGGACTGTCCAGCTCACTGAAGTCACACAGAGCTGGGCTTCTGGGATGCTACGGGACCAGCCTCGGATGGAGCCTCAGGCCCCCAGCTCGTACTCACCCATTAGTTACAAAGAGCGCTCATATCTGGCTTTGCATTTGCGTCTCATGCGTCAGGTAAGGGGTGGATCCTAACAAGGGCACAGAGAAGCCATGGAGCTTGTCCAAAGTGACATGACAGAGACTTAAAATGAGGTCTCGGGGCCTCTCTGTGGTGCAGTTGTTAAGTCTCAGCACCATGAAGCCACTGCAGCGCAAGTTTGATCCCCCCAGGGAGTGACCCACAGGACACAGCAGACCTCTCCTGTCTCCCCGCTGCTCCCCTCAGCAGTGTATTTCAATATATCTCCTGTTCTGCTCCCCACTCTGTCTCTGGTGAGTCTTTTCACCTCTTCCCATCCTACGCCTCTGGCCTGGACCTTTGTTCTTGTATGCATAAGTGAATAAATCTTTAAAAAAATAAAGTGAGGCCTTGGGCATCTCTGTGCAGACTCTGTGGAGAGACTGTTCTGCTCCCAGTGGGGATGAGGCCTCTAGCCTGTCACTTGTCAGCTCCCCTTCTCCTTCAGATAATGTGCTGTTTGGCTGACTATAATTGACAGAATATCAGTTTGGACTATGGGCTGAAGGGAAGAGGAGGCCTCTGATGGAGCTCACACCATCTACATGGTCAGATGTTGTGTGTCTTCGGGACCTGCTTGGTGCCGACACACTCCAGAAGATCAAAGAAGTTGCACATTAATCAAGTCCACTGAGGGGCTCTCAGAATCTGTGCTGTTCATTTGACAAAGAAATTGCAACCCTGGGATGGGCTTGCTTGTCCAAGACCCCATCCCGCATGACAGACCAAACCAGAGCCCGCTGTCCCGGGGGTTTGAGCATGGGGCTTGCACCTCTGGCCACCGGGACCTCACAGGGACAGCTGAGAGCCGAGCATGTGCTGTCCCCAGGGGAGTCTGGCATTTACTTCCAATCTCTCCGGGGGTGGGGGGGGGGAGGGTCTGTGGATGTGAAAATGGGGCTTCAGAGAGGCTAATGTCCCCCTGACAAGGATGGAGTGAGTCTGGAGTCACCACCCTCCTTGCCAGGGGATTAGCTCCAGTGGGTCAAAGCCCGGCAGTCAGCAGACATGGGAGCTGGCTGACCGCTTTAGTTTCTCTGCGTTAGTCAGCTGCTTACGGCTGTGTTCTCAGTCTTCGCTATTGGTGAGCTCAACCTCTAACGTAAGCAAGTTCTACTTGGGCTCTATCTGCAGTGGTGTGAGCTAAAAATAACCAAGGCTTGGGGCGGGTGGTGGGGGAGATGTTTTCTCTGCTAAAATGTCTCAATGGCAGTTATAGTTCTACAAAACCCTCAACAAGTATTACTGTAAAGAAGTAGATACATGTGCCTCCCTATTTCTCTATGCTACTTTATTTTTCATGGAGATAATCTTTTCAAATGGTTCATGTATTTTTTTTTTTTATGCCAGAGCATTATAGACTGACTGGGTAATGAAAAATTTCACTCTACATACATAAAACTAGACACCTATTTCTAAGCTTTGCCCTGTTTTATTTTATGTATTTTTTTAGGGCTTATTTGTGCATACAGAACTGGGGCACAAGCCAGAGATGCGGGGGTGGTGAGAGGATTCACCAGAGACAGAGTGGGGAGCAGAACAGGCAGACTGACGAAGTCCACTGCTGAGGGGAGCAGCGGGCGGGCCAGGAGAGGTC